ACACGACAGCATCCAAGAGCACGGAATGTCCACACTGAAATGTTGGTTGAACCTGTTGCGCATGAACAACCGACACTTTCTCTTAAAAGCCGCCGCGTCAGTTGGACTCGACGCGTTAGCTCCCAACGCCCTGGTCTCGACGTCCAGATTGTTCCAGATTGTTATGACTCGTGGCAGGAAGGATGAGGCATAGGACGAAGTTTTCACTCTCGGTGGGACAAGCATGTGAGCCCTAGAGCTCCGAGGAACTCTAGACGAGAAGTTGACTAACCTCGCTATGTCAGTATCATACACTTTTGCACGAGACTTAACAAATGTTACCACATCGGAAATCTCCCTTCTGTAAGACAGAGGCAGCCAGCCCAAACAGGCTGCTACCAGTAACCTTCAAGCGCCAGCTGAGCGCCCGTTGTGTGTGGTCTTTGAGCCCTTCCTGAGCCCTCATTGAGGCTACCTTTACACTCTTTCTACACTTTCTGCGTGACTAAAAACTCAAATGTCAACAACGTTTATGGGCGACCAACTAGCTCACTCAAAGAATTACGGAAATAGAGAACGAGATTTTGTACGTTTTTTTGTCAAAGTCACTTTTTTCAACATCATTCTTGATCATATTTAGATAATGAAATCAAGGGTGTAGGTCCTGCATCTTACTAGGACGGCGTCGCCATGTTTTTATGTTGAGGTTTTTATGAATCGCAAAGATTACTGTTAAAAATCATGAGCTATCATGAGCTATCATAATTCAGATCATGAGCTATTTTACTGCTGTAAAGCCATGGTCACAACCCGCCATACGTGCTTTTTGTCCGTACGTTTTTTGGTAGGCTACGTCTGCTACGTTTTTTCTGAAAACGTAGGGAAGGAGTGGCGTCGACGCACGTCACTCGCACGTCAATCGCACGGTTGCGCAAGGTGTAAGAGTGTGGACTGCACGTTACGTCTGGCCGTGAGGGGTTGCGTGCATCGTACGTTGCGCAAGTGGTAAGTGAGTTGTACGTGCTTACAACGTAGAATCTCTGTGCGATTGCAACTTTACCGTAAGGAGGCCGTACTCACAAGTGCGTCTTTCGTACGGTACGCACGGGGCACGCGCGTCGCCCGTACTCGCACGCACGGGTGGTGAATCCGCAGACCGCACGTAGAAAACGTTTTACATGCTTAAAGTTCTACGGCGTGTCTGCGTGCTCCCAAATCCGTAGGATTCCGTTCGGATGGTACTCACCACGCACGGATGCCCTACGTTTGCCCACGTTTTTGCACGTAGACAGCACGCAGAAGCACGTACGGCGGGTTGTGACCGTAGCATAAGTGCCCCATGAAAATCTCTAAAGCCTAGGTACCTAGGTCACAAGTCAAAAAAGGCCTGTTGAAAAAAAGACCGAAGAAAACGAAGGGAGAATAATTTAAGAAACATTTTTTTGTATCTTGGTTGCATAAATGTGTTGCTTGACATAATTGACTGTTGAATAACATGTGCAGCTGGAGGACAGAAAACTCCAAAATTTGAAACGCGTAAGAGTGGTATAAGAAATGGCTAACCTGTGCCAGATGTCCGGGGGATCAGCAGTCCCAGGAGAGCACAGAACAGTGCTAACAAAAACTCGTCTCTGTTCACGTGGATCATCATTACTTGTTCATAGTACGCGAAGTTACATGTTGGGATCACAAAGATGTGTGTGCTCTCTTCGCGTTGCTGCTAGGTTCTGCCCATGTGCTGGGGCTGGTCAATTCGCCAAGTCAAGTCTTCTTGAAACCTACTTTGTTTATTCGTCCTTATCGCCCATTGGCTGTTTGCAGATTGCTGTGCGGTGTCGTAGTCACAGCGCTTGGGGCCACCACGAACAGACCTCTAAACATGGTTGAGAGCCTTGCACGTATTCCAAAACACAGGGTACTCTTTTGTATCTTGAAACAAAACCCTGCTCGGCTAACTCAACCCCTTAGTCATAGTGATGTACGCGTCAGAAGTGCAATGATCTCCTCCACGGAATGTTTATACAGCACTTGGTGGTCTTGTTTTGGTCGCTAATATTCTAACAGTCAACTTTGTATTGTCATGTAACTGCATTGGGTCTACACAATAGTGGGCTAAGCTTGAGACGGAATTTCCTCATACTCACCTGCATTGATTCGCATTGTAGCGTGCAATTTATTCTGTCAACATTGGCCTCTTGTGGTGACAAAAGTAACTTGAAGGTACCGCCAGTGTTGGTCAAGAGGCACGTGGAATGAGGAAAAACCTTATCAGGTTCCACCTGTTGTGGCGCTAGACGTAGGAAAACAAGCGATTCTGTCAAAATTAGTTACTTTCCTGGTGACAGGGTACCGCTAAACAGTTGTACTAACACGGTCAACGGGTAGTGCAGTCTGTTATATGTCCTTTGCACAACCGTTTAAATCCCACTGCGACCTTACGGCAACCAATAGGGATGATTGTGTGACAATTGTTACCTTAGTACCTTAATATTTTCTGTAGCGTTTGTGTGTGGTTTAACAGGATATAACCCAAGAAGCCTTGGATGTATTGCCATGAACGTTGGTAGGAAGGTAGGTCTTGAAAAGATTTAGATTTTGGTCCCCCTGGCGGCCTGTGGATTACACTTATTTTAGGGTATTATAACGTTAGTCAGCCAGCGAAGCGTTTTTGGTATTAGTCAGCCGAAATTGTAATATGATTTTGTCACCTGACGACCCACATAGTCTTGTCCTACATGAAATTTAACAAAGTTGCGACATGGGAAATTCCTTCAAACCTATCACATGGATTGTTTTTGGTAATTATTTTCAGAAATATGACGTACTAAGATTTTTCAGCATTCAAGCCGTTACCCAGTGAGGCTTGGCTTCGCTTAGTTCCAAGTCATGCATCTTGAAGCCTAACTTGTTAAGTCATCCTTATCGCCCATTGCCTGTTTTTCCTAGATTGTAGATTGTTGTGTGTATTTTCGTTGTCATAGTGCACGGCTGCACCACAAACAGACCTTCTTTGTTATAAACATGGTTGAGAGGCTAGTAGGTATTGCAAAGTACAGATGTTGTATCTGGGCACAAACCCAGCCTTAGGCTAATAGTCAAGGTGATTTGTGTCTTACAAACGCGGTGGTCTTCTCAATGAAATGTTTAAACAACTCCAGGTGTTTTTGTTTTCACTGGTGGGTAACACATTCTCACGGACGCCTTAAACTTTTGTCTCCCCTTGGCTCTAGGGATGATCAACATCCGTGTCAGGTTTCACCTGTTGTGATGCTGGACGTAGAAAACAAGATTTTGTCAGTTAATTAGTTTTCTAGTGACCGGGTACAGGGCCATAGTTTCAGTCATGCTGTTGGTCTAGGGGGCGAAAAATACGCTGGCTGTTTAAAAACTAAGGAATATCAGTGTTGTTATTTGTTTCTTAGAAATGTTTAATCTAGTGTTACACATTCCACGGACTTTTTTTATTCCGCACTAACATCAGAAACATACACGATGAACAGGAAGGGTGACAATAGGCTGCCTTGTTATACCGCACCGATGATTGCAACCTGTTATACCCCCATTCCACTTAGAAGGCGCTCTCTCCGCGACCTCAAATTAGCCAGAGCGTAATGAGAGCGCCAAGGTCGCCATGAGAGCGCAATGATGAGATCGTCATGAGTGCCGTGAGTGCCGTCACCTCGGCGATGGTATCGAACCGGCTCATATCATCGCCGTGAGAACGCACAGGGCGGCGATGCAACAATGAGCGCTGTGAGAGCGCAAAGCGAGCGTCATGAGAGCGCACAACTGCCCCAACATTAATTTAGATATACCGCATTCAACTTAGTCGGCGCTTTCTCAGCGCTCCCACAATTTCAGGTCGCAAAGAGAGCGCAGTCATAGATATGGGGGCCTTACACCCTTGATCTCATAGCTTGAATATGATGCAGGATGTACAAGAATGATTGGGTAAACAATAAAACAAACCAAACGTACAAAATTTTGCTTCTCTGTTTCAATTGCAGGTGACAATTGACCTCGGCATCACCAAGGTTAGGGCTGATATGTGTGACCTTACTTTGACGTTACTTTGACCTTAATTCTAGTCACATCCCTCGCCCCTCCTTCAATTGATTGTTCGTGAGGAAGAATTTCTTAAAGACACACATTTATTCTTATCAAAGATTGCAAAGCCGTATGAGTTGAAAAGGTGAAGGTCGGTCGTAATACTAGCTGCATACATCTACTTCATTGTTTGGGCTCCCCCCCCCGATCTTAACCTTTTCACCACCTCCGCCGTGGTTGTTTGTGTTGTCGAGAACATTATCGGATGCAAACGCGGAAAACTTAATATACTGTTATACATCACTACTTCAACACGTTGCTGAAATAACATACATGTATTAGTGTTTTAGGTGTGTGTTAAAGACACACATTTATTCTTATCCAAGATTGCAAAGCCGTATTAGTTGAAAAGGTGAAGGTCGGTCGTAATACTAGCTGCATACATCTACTTCATTGTTTGGGCTCCCCGATCTTAACCTTTTCATTACCTCCGCCGTGGTTGTTTGTGTTGTCGAGAACATCATCGGACGCCAACGCGGAAAACTTAATATACTGTTTTACATCACTACTTCAACACGTTGCTGAAATAACATACATGTATTAGTGTTTTAGGTGTGTGTTATCCTTATTTCTTTGGTCCATACTATAACATTTTGTTAGTCGCTGAACTCGAGTACGACGCATATGCTGTGTTTGTTATTTACTAAATCTAGCACGTTATGGAACAAAATACGTACAAGTACCTTGAACTGGTCACCTCCCATGTTAAGTTGAACACAGTAGTAGTGTAGAAGAAATGACATTAACTTACATTATTTACAGGATACGTTCTGCACCAGCGCAGTGTTAGTACATAGAATGAAAAGAAAATACAAGATTTAAGCTATAGAGTACCACAATAAAACCTTTTAAGGTTTTAAAGATATCTTTTTACATCCTCTATACTAAATTTAGTATATCTTGCGTAAGGAAATTACATACCATTTGGAATCCAGATGATACAAGGAAGTTTTAATTAATAATTCTATGTATACGTCGTAGAAGATTGTAAAACAAAACTGAGCATGTACGTATCGGGCAATTGTCTTTAGAAACCGTATATTTTTCAAAAGATCAAGACACTGTACACTTTCATGTGGCCTTATACCGACTTGTTCGTCTCACGAGAAACAGCTTTTTAGTGAGCAGCAGGTATATTGTAGTCAAGGCCCCTGTAGCAAATGGAAAAAAAAAATATATTAAAATTCATCACCTTGATAATTAGCAGTTTGTATAAGACTTCATGTTATCAATTGAGAAAATGTGCAGTTGATCATTTTGAAAGCGTAAGTGAAGTTAAGAGAATTCTTAAATGATTCTTTGTTACTAATGGAAATAAAATCTTCAAATAACATTGACCTAGAATAACTTTTTAAAAGTTCTTGTTAATTAGGTTTACATTCGTTTAATGAAATAGTACCTGAATAAATGATACAGCGTGCACATTCATCCTTCAGTAGAATATTGAAAGGGTTACTCTTTTTTTCCTAATGTCACCCAAAAACAAAATTTAATTCATAACCAACCACATCAGGAACTCACCAATGCCAATTCCAACGCTCAAGCAGATGATAACTTTTCTTGGGGCTGATTCAGACTGGCGCTCTGGAGTTAGGTTGGGTATTTCTGGACAATGTTCGGGAGGGGGGGGGAGACAAAGCATAACGATACAATGAGTCAAAGAATATTTTAAAAGTAGTGGACAGTCTTCTAATCCCCCAAAGTTTAGACAATACGGACTTTGTATGCTGAAAAATATCCAAAAGTTAAGGGAATTATCCCTTTCAAAATGCCGTGGCATGACACAATATTCTGAAATAGCCACACAGGAACAAAGCATTCCAAAGCAAAGGGCAACCATGCTTGTGTGACGTGTGTGTTCGGTAAACATACCTTTACACTGCGTTGAACCTTCAGTCTCTGTTTTCGTCCCGTTTGGACACGTCATGCACTGTTTCATCCCTTCCTCTGGCTGGTAGGTTCCATTCGTACAAGGAGTGCAGGGCAGAAGGCCAGAGTCCGAGTACGAGCCTGGTCTGCAGCTCACTGTAGGATGATAAATGTTTCCTTTTAGAGCATGAATCAACTGACACTATATAATTGAACATGACAACATTTGCCTATAGCTAAAAGGCATGTTCTTCTGCTAATTTCTTGAATGAATACACCAAATATTATGTATTTGTAAACATTTTATCATGCAATGGTGAGGTGAGGTAATTATCCAATGGTGATAGGTACAAATTTGTGTCACACAATACATACACAGGATTTATGATCGTTCACACTGTACACAACATGTGAAAAACTCAACACCCAACCTTCTTATTGCTGACAACGTATTGGACGTAATGACATTTTTGCCATTCTACAGGCAAAATTCCCCTTGTGATATAGACACTAAAGTGAAATAATGGCTTTTAAAACGTACTTCCACAGTCGTCAGAGGATGTTGCCCCAACACTAGATGTTGTTTGACCAAAAGGACATTTCATACACTTCCTCATTTCTTCTCGTGGGTCCCGGGGCCGGGGTAGGAAGTATCCCTTAGGACAGGGAGAGCACTCCCCCTCATCAGACGTACCGCTCGCAAAGAAGTAGTATCCCGCGTGGCAAGGCTCTGTGGATGGAAAACGCCATTTTAATCAATTTTAGTTCAGCTTTCTAACATGTTTTTATTTGTACAGTTCATTTGTACTTTAAATGTTTTCATAGTAAGTCAAGTCCCAAGAAACAAGAGTTTAGGCGAATAATCACGTTTTTCTTAAGACATACCTCTGCATTGCTTGGATGAAGTAGACCCGCTACTAGTTGTGGTCAATGAGGCATTACAGTCCAAACAGGTTGTCTGTCCTGTCCTGTTTTGAAAGGATCCTTTGGGACAAAGGGTACACGGCTCGAATCCAGTCTCGGAGAATTGGCCCTGATTGCATTTAACTGGAATACAACAGATGTTATATTTGACGAGATGTGATGTTAGAAACCATGTCATTTTATGCCTTAAGATAACACCTTACTTACATCTAAGAAAAGTATGAAATACTTCTGTCCTTGTTATTAAATAGAGCGTTTATCAGAAATCCAGTCAGAAATGAAAAGAAGGAATCTTGAATAATCATTTGTCGACTACCTTCACAGAGATCCGGAGACGTCGCACCCTGAAGACGCGTGCCCCTTCCCGGTGGACACTCGGTGCATGAGGTCTGTTCCCAGTGTACTTGATACGTGTCTTCTGGACAGGAGCTGCAGTTCTGACTCATGATACCATTGTCAGAAAAATGTCCAGGTGAGCAGGGCTCTATGAAGATGCATTAAAATGATCATTTAACGTGCAATTGCAATGCATTATGATATCTGCTACAACTATACTACTCTTTATTTCTCTATCTGACGTGCATAGCCGGTATAACCGCCCTAAACACACCAGCCACTGTCAATCATAAAAATGTATATGACTTAAACTGCGCAAAAATGGTATGCCGATTTAAATTTCACTTTTAAATGTTCAAGGGGCAAATTATGATACTGTTTGGCAGCACTGATGATGTCTGACACAAAATTGCAATGTGGAACTCTGCATATTATTTGGAAACATCTCCTCGTTCATTTGTCAAAATAAGACCGCAATGTTGTTTATGGTCACAGGTCCATTACTTGTGTATATGATTGCTTTCATTAGGAAACGTTGCAGATGGATACAAAAATATTTTCTATTCGTACCGTAGCATAACGTAGACGATCTAGTCCCCGTTGAATAAGTCGTAGTTCCTTCTGGACATGGTTCACATGTCTCCTGGCCTTGTTGATCCTGGTAGAACCCCTTCGGACATGGTCTGCACTCTGGTGACCAGAAGAGATCGCTGCGACCCCTGTACTTTCCTGGTGGGCAGTTCACTGCAGGGACAGTGTTTGAACGGGTTTTATTCAGTATAACCAGAGACTGAGCACCAATGACAATGTATGTAGATAAGTGAATGGATGAATAAACGGTTTAGTCTACAAATTAAGAGCCGTTAAAATTGCAGAAATAAGACAAAGTGGAGGGTATTTTGTGACTACTCACCGCAGATATAGCCGTTTTCGTCAACCCCTTGCCCACTTGGACACAGGAATTCTGTATATAACACTTCAAATACGCTGGGGTCAAGGTTGATGTTCTGACCACCATACAATGCAGTAATATTGCCTACTTCTGTCGCCTGTTCAAGCTCGGATATCCTACTTTGGAATTCGTTCAGTTCAAATGTCATTTTCTTTGCGTAATGAGGGTACAGATATAAATAATCTGTTCCGTTGGTCAGGTTTCTGCCATTTATTGTTATCTGAAGACGTCGTTCATATCTAGTATCAAATACTTCTTTCATTAGAAACACTTTTGCGACACTGCCGAGACCAGTTATATCTTCTAGGATGCTCGCCATTCTCTCAAAATCAACACCGTATCCAGCATTGACATCTGGCGCGGAGGTAATGTTTATCTCTGGCTGAGTGGTAGACAAGCTTTCATTCAATCTACCGTGTGCCACTGTTACGGTAGATGGTATCTGAGTTGAAAAGGTGAGGTCATCATGCTTGACCCCAGGCAGCGGCGTATCGATGTCAACACTCTCTTTGTGTTTGTCAGTGAGTTGAAAGGTTATGTTTACCGTAGGCACTGCCACCGTGACACCCAGTATCATGAGAAAGGCTGGCTCTGACATAGTTTGTCCGTGTTCGTTTTCTGCCCGGCAGGCGTACCACCCTTCGTCTTGCCATGTCGGGTGGATTATCAGGATGTAGTCTGATGCTGTCCCGTTGTTGACCTGATCCCAATTTGACAATGTATTTTTTCGGAAGAACCAGCGAATCAAGGGTGTTGGCGTACCTGTTGACACAATGTGGCAAATAGCCTCATTTGTAAGAAAAACTTAAGCGTTGTTTACAGACGTTATTTTAAAGCTATGCCAAAATGGTATGAAAATTAAAGAAAATACCATCAAATGCTTTTACCGTTAAGGTTCAGATTTTGCTCTTTAAAGTTGAAAAATGTTTAAAACCTCTGTTTAAAGAAAAGAAACAAAGTTTTTGTTGCCAAACTTCTGTTTGTCTACGGTAGATTATCATCACAGAAGTACAATGTATAATGTAAGGACTAAAGGCTAAGAGCAATATAACTCACCTGCTGCACTGCAGTTCATTGTGGTTCCCACTTCACTGCCCAGAGCGAGTTCCTGAGACAATGGGTGTTGAGTGAGCTGCGGTTTAGATGTGACGTCCACTTGGATAGGCACGGTTGATGAAGACCCAAACCTGTTGGAAGCTATGCAAACGTATTCTCCTCTTGCTTCCTCCTTCACGTTTTTCAACATCAGTTCCGTGGAATTGCCAAGTTTTATTCTACTGTCTTTGATCCATTCATATTTAGGGTCCGGCTCTCCGGTAGCATTACATTCCAATGTCAGGTCATTGCCCTGCAGTACTTTGTTTGTTACCGATGGTTGTAGTTGGATATTTGGAGCCGTGCCACAGAGCCAGTTTCCATCGCTTGTGGCGTTGATACATGTCATGAGATTTTGTAGGTTCCAATAGATGTTACTTCTGTTCAAACTTGTGTCGTTTAACAAAACTTCAAGACTATCCCTAACCTCCAGAATGTTGCTCTCCATAGCGATGACTTCAGGTTCTTCTGTAGGATAGAGAAGGTTGTAGTAGTCCTCTAAAACCTGAAGTATGCAGTCGCGAAAGCCAAAACAGACGTCGAAATAGGAGGCGTTACGTGTTACCTCTTCGTATGCCACGTATAAACGGCTTGCGGCCGCAGTCCCCGTTGATGTGTCTTCATTGTTCCGATTGATAAATGAAATTGTCTCAATCAACTTGAGAGTTGCTTGTGCTTCTTGGCTGATATTCTGAATGTCTTTGTCAGAATCACTGGTTATGTTGAAATAATCTACTAGAATTGTTTTGTTGTATGCACTCTTCCGCAGTCTCGTATATAAGGTGACGTTCTGTTTTAAAGCGAGTAAGTGTTGTTCAGTTTCCATAAACAAGAGTTTCATGCGAAGCTGTTCCCTCTCAAACTCCTGAATTAGGGTGACTATCTCAGTGAGGTATGTAGAAATCTCATTGAATGTGTGACATGAGTCAGTGGTAAGGTCCGTGGTTTCTGTAGTAGCACGCTTCCGTCTTCTTCCTTCTGTGTCGGAAAACGTAGAGACCGCGTGGAGTGCTGCATCGATGTTGCCAAAAATGGTCCTTCCTATCTTCTCGACTCCATTAGCAAGTGATGTTTCAATGGAGTCAAGGTCAAGAACCATTCCAACTTCATGCAGACGAGAATTAACCTGAACAAGTACCTTTAAGGGTATAATTTTGGATGTGTTGCTTGTTAGCGTCATAGTTGATGACACGTTTACTATTTGCAGACCTGCCATGTCTGTACCGTTAAATAGGCCGCGGAGTTTGAAAGAGTCACCTAATGCGGTCTTTACAGACGTAAGGACCAGCTTTGCTTCAGACAGGGACAGACGATAACGCTCGGATAGTGCCTCACGTTCTTTGGCATGTAGACGCTGTGCATCTAATTGAACACGAAGGTTTTCGAGGTTTATCTGATTCGTGTTTCGTCGCGATCTTGCTGACTGTAGACTAGCAAGCTTTGTCGTCACATCGCCCCAAGAGTGTTCATAGCGAGAAAAGACCGTACTTCGAACTGATCTACAGGCTTCATTCTCACTGAGGCATGTTGGATCTTGTGTTACTGTCAAGTTAGGGACTTCTTCGCAGCATTCTGTCTGAACGTATCCTGTTTCAGTTTGATAGCACGTTTTACAGCATTCTGTTTCGTCGTAGTAGGTGACAGATTTGCTACAGTTCTCACTGCAGGGGTAAAAGTCAGTTTGGGCTGTACATTTCACTATGTCTCCAAAGCTGCACCCAGTGATCCACAAAAAACTGCATCGGCAATAATGTGTCACTGTACATGTTTCGCTCCAATCAAAACACGTCGTCTGGCACTCGTACTGTTCAATTACTCGTCGAGTTTTGTAACAAGGTGTGCAGCATCTCTCTGGTATTTTACGGGTATAAAGCCTTGTACATGCACTACACTTTACACCTGGTGTTTGTACAACAGGGCAGGTTTGCAGTTCACATAGGGCGTCAAGTGCATTCAGGTGGTTCTGTATATTATTTTTGTCACTTTCAAACTCCTGCTCAAGTTGCTGGAGCTCGTTTTCACTGTCTTCTAATTCGGACAAAGCCGTAGCATACTCTTGCTCGATGCTTTCTAGGCTTTGATTCGAATTGTTGAAGTCTGCATTTGCCTGAGAGAAAAGGTTTTCAAGGCTTTCTACCGACTTTTGTGCCAGCTCATAACGATTATCTGATTTAGTCAAAATGTCGGAGAGATACGTCTCCAGCCGATCTCTCACAAGACGTGGAAGGCCGTCTGAGTGGTGAAGAAATAAAATTGTGATATTCCACCGTAAGGTGCTTCCAGTGTCTACATGTATGTTACAATGTCCAACTAAATAGATGGGAATCTGGCTCAGAACAATACTGCCCTGTATATGAGCAATTGTATCTTCGGTCGAAAGCGTCAGTGTTTTTGTTTCTCCAAAGATTTGAAAATCTACTGACACACTTGTGGAGATTTTTTCGCCCGCCAGTTTCCATGTTACTTTGTTACCTTCACGGAACGTCAGATACTGATCAAAACGTAAGGTTTCGGTAGGAGAAGTTATTCCTCCGAGTATCCACGAATCTTCTTTCACGGTTAGTTCTACATCTGAATGACCAAAACATAGGCTGTACTGACAGACCGTGGCGCGAAATGTTAAGCAAAACTCTGTGAGCTGTACTTGGGAAGTTGCGTTCAGCATGATTTGCATAATTGTGTCATGAGACTGTGCAAACTCTGACACTATACCGTAGACTGTATTTGCGTCGTTTTTTGCAATTGTATGGCCACCGTGACTGAGCGTATCAGCTGTTTTCGTTAACATTCTAGAAAGTGGCCAATATTCAATCTGCAGCGCGGACAATGCGTCAACGATGTCTGTTGTATTGGTGCCAGAACCAACGGAATCGACGCTGTTCTGAAGGGTTGTTTGATATGTTGTAATTCTCCTTCCTAGGCTGCTGATTTGATCCGAGGAGGTTTTCCCTTCCATAGTGGATACAACGTGGAGGGCCCTACTAGCAGTCTCATTAAGACTTTGCAGCTTTTCTAGTAACACAGGGTTTTCTTTAATGGGTTGATTTTTGTGTAACAGTTTGATGCAACCCATCAGGTCTGTATTGTCATTAATGGCGAAGACACTCTTCAGCGGCGTGTCATCGAACGGGCTTTCACTGGTCACCCGCTGGAATTGAACCTTTGCAAAACTGTTTTTGGAACCTGCAAGTGTGTTAAGTATACCCAATCAACCTAAGCTTTCATCTGTAGAAATCTGACTTCAATAATATCATGAAACGGTGAGAATAAGTTAGTAATGTGCAGAAAGCATACGCCATGTTATATATAGTTGTTTACCACAGTAAGGCTTTGACGTTCGTCAGTTTAAACATACAAAATTGTCACAAGAAAAAGAAATTAATCACCTTGAATTTAAGTGAATAGCCTGAAAGCCGTGACAAAAAAACAATCTTAAAAGGACAACATTAGTGGCTCCGTGGTTTCGTGCTTTGACAATTCTCTAGCGCGTGTCTGTCTTTCTAAAGTAAATATTTGTGGTATCAAGTGTCTCAGCATACAATGTTTCGGGAGAAGTGTTTGCATGCTGGTCACGCCCTACCAGTAAATGCAGTGCACAAGTCTTACGTACCTTCTTGAGAAATGTAGAGCGATGTTTCTTCATTCGGGAAGGTGAAATTCGTTGTCGTTTCCTTGTAGTCTATTCCAAGATTCATTGTAATGTGTGGTTTTCCTGTAGCCAGGAACCCTTTTGACAGGAAATGACTAAAGATCTGTAAAAACGAAGAGAACAACGACGTTACTTTTTTTATAAGTAAACAAGTACCAGAGTTATCAACCAAGGATTGATGTGTTCAAAAATCCATTCTTTCTTAGAACTATCGCAGAGTGGAACTCGCTGTCACCAATTGCAGTGGGGCATTATAATTAGATAGCTTTAAACAATGTTTAGAGATAGATGTTCAAGGGTTAGGTGTAACAAGTCATTCGGTGTAATGTATCCACCTGCCACCCCGCCTCGTGCCTGCGAAGCTGGTGTGTTACGTCGAAGGGCCGTTATATCGGCTTTACAAATACAGATATTACAAGTTTAACCTCGATAATGTTCAACATTGCTTATCAAGCATACAAATGTACAAGAGGCATTATCTTTACCACGTGTTACGTCTTTAATGTTGTGTGGAGACATAAATTGGGGTACAACTTCTAAACTGGCAATTAATACTTGAAGTTTTTCACACGATTTACCTGTTCTATTCCTGCTGACCGAATGAACAGATTGCCGTCGACGTGTACGTTTAGTGTTGCTGCCTTGTTCTCTGATGTCACAGTAAACTGAAAACTGGAATCTAGCCAGATGTCCCCTGATGCAGACCTCTGTCGAGAGGTTCCATGGTCATCCCAGAATACCACGTCAAATTCCGGATTGTACAGACTAAAAGGGGGTGACATGCCAAACCCTCTAAGGAAAAATTCCCATTTAGACAGACCAAGTTTTCTAGAAAGCGTTTGGATGATGCCATATCCACTGGACAGTGGGAATGTGACTGCAAATGAATTATAGCATGCATCGACAGCGAGACAAATGTTGCCGTCAACAGCATATGTCGTCTTGTGCTCTCCAAGGACATTGAATATGACATTAGAAGGGCTACGTAATACATGTACAAGACTGCCATGTGAAAAGGGGAGGGTCCCACAAGACATTATTGCAATGGAATTGGCAGACACTAAATCAGAAACGCTACTGATCAGCCACTGCTGTGGCTCTGAACTGGACACAAGGTGAAACCAACCTGGAAGGAGACTGTTTACGGACCGTACGTATGAGTTGAAGAACGCGGACGTTTCTGACAGTCTTTTTAGAAGTACGGGAGGGAACTCACGGCAGGTGCCAGAATCCTCATCCATTGAATGGTTGTCTACGTATGTGAATAAATGTTTTTCCAGAGGCAATGACGTTATTGTTGGAACCGTTTGAATCATAGTGCCAGTCAGTGAAAACGGCAGGGTGATGCCATTTGTTTTTACATGTATAAGGCCAGTGGAAAACCTATGAAAGACGTCAAAGCGGTCCTCATGCCAAGGGGATGTGGATAGTAAGCTGACGTTTTGACATGGGGCATTTACCAGCTCTAACTCGTTACAACCTGCAACAAGAGGGATGTCGTCACCGGTTGCGTATTGATGAGACAGTCGGGATCTGAAAGGGTGCTCGCGATTGTTCACTGGTAAAATGTCGATGTCTGGTACCTCAAATTCTGCTGCACTTTGACCTGAAATGCTGTACTGTATCGGTATAAAGCCGGGCACCCTCCCCTTTACCCTAAATTCTGCTGTAGAATCTGGATACGAGAAGACTACTGTCGCTGGCTCGAACTCCAAACCATGTCCACGTAGAGACAAGATCAGTTCTTTGGTTGGTTTAGCACGAATCACAAACTCTTGAGACCATACGTGCGTTAACAGAATTGGGTACCCCTCTTTTGGAAATGTTATGAATCCGGTTTGACATCTGTCACCCTTGTACCCAGTGTCTGTACAATCACAGGAATATTGAACGGAGTCTATCGGGGTGCATCGTCCTTCATGGAGACACGGGTTTGGTTCACAGGCTGTGATTCCTGTCCAGAATAACACAGTCATTATGCCATTATGTTATTGCATCAAAAATGTAAATATCTGAATTGCGTATTAGTGTTAGTCCACTTTTTACGTCCAGCATATTTGTGCAATAATCATCTTACGTTTTTGACATTTATGGTTGGGGCTAAAACAGCCCACACGAGGAGCACTGATTTTGTGGCAACACTACAAAATACCAGAATGTAAACAAACCTTGCGGACAGCTTTTGAACTTGTAAGGAGTCATATTTTTGGCAGGATCACTTTCTAAATGACTCGTATTTACATGGTTGATTAAACTTTGTAAAAAGAATGACCAGAACTTTAACCTTTTGTGTCATCCTAATCATACATAATATAGGTTTAACAAGCAAATACTGGTCACAAGACATTAAACTGCTACTGTCATAAGTTGTACAATGTGCATAATGTGTAAATATATATAAGTTTCCCTGATTTTTTACTATATATTGCTGTGCATATGTAATGATTGAAATCATCAATTTTTACTTACGTGAACAATTGAAGGCATTGTCACTCCACCCCACCTCGCTACCTTGTAACACGCAGTTTTTGTTATCGCCATCTCCATGGGACTGGTAGAACCCATTGTTGCATCCCATGATGCATCGCGACGTGTACTCCTTCCGGCACGGCATTCTGATGTACCCGTTCTCTGGAGGTTGTAGCCTTTCGCACAACTTAGCTGAAAGAAACAGTTATTATGTAAAGCTAATGTCTACCTGCTGCTCTTTCTTAATGCGTCTATGGTCACACAACACACACACACACACATACAACACACACTTTTTCACACACAGACACACATGAAACACCCACTCAGTGACACACAAATACACACACATAAACACTCACTAAATCACACACACGCTCAATCACATACACACACATAAACACTAACTCAATTAAACACCCTCAATCACCTACACACAAACACGCATACACACACGCGACAATGACACACACAGGTACACACACATACACACACACGCACACACACACACATAAATATAACGCACACTCGAACACATACACAACACTCACACACATGCACACTCATACACACTCAAGCGAGCACGAACAAATCTTAAATTACTTACGCGGGCATTGCGGCTGCTCCCCCGTCCATTGTGCCGAAGGCAGGCAGCGTCGTTCGGCCGACCCGGTCATGTGGTACCCGGGGTGACACTCGAACAGACACGTCTCGTTTGTGACAAAACCCGTGCAGGTTCGTTCTCCATTCCGTGGAATCCCGATGTCTACACATGGATTGCCTAATGAAAAATGTATCTAGATTTGAGCTATACATGACTTAAGTATAAGAGGCAGTTTTTTTAGCCGAAAGAAATTAACTTTAAGACTAGATTATTCGCCAAACCATATTCTGTGCCATTTGCTCAGCCCTCATGACCACGTAGATTTCATAATGAAAAGAACTTTTTTTTTTGCAAAACTTTTTTTATTCGCACGCGCGCATCAGTTTTGGGGCTCCCGGAGGATGTCATCCATATAATCAAATCAACATGGCCTAAGTTAAAAAAAAAAGATCTGACCTAGACATGTGTGCTGGTCCCATGCGAGGTGCCACCCGACATGACAGCCACAGTGGTAACTGCCGACAGAGTTGTAACAGGTGTGCTCACATCCTGATGACTGCTCATCACACTCGTCAATATCTTTGTTTGATGGGAACACATGTCATAAGAATACCATCACAATTTTAACAAAAAACAAATGTTTGTCTTAAAGTAAGACATTCCACTTCGTTTTATTCCTGATGAAGATGACGGACGGTCGTCGAAGCGTCGGAAATGATCGTGAATAAAGTAAAACTTTGATATTCAACCATTCACCAACCTTATGATTTTTTAGGGATATCAACCAAGAAGCTTTCATTGCTTATATAATTTTTTATTTTTTATTTTTAATTCCAACACGTAATAAAAAAAAATATATCATTGCTTATATAATGAAGGTTGGATGATGCGGTGTGCTTACCGTCACATCCTCGGTCGTCTGTCGCCAGTCTATAGCCCACATGGCAGGAACAGGTGTAACTTCCCACCTCGTTGTGGCAGTTATGGGCACATGCATGAAACCCGCCAGGTTCGCATTCGTTTATGTCTGTGAAGAGATGTAAGCCGTAAGGTTTACATATGCCGAAAAAGGTTCCGTATATGTTTTTCAAAAAGGATATGAAAATTATATTGTCAACCAAAACGTCTAACAAGGCAAATTGAATGTAATTTGCATCCGATTCGATACCTTGACACAAGCGTCCGTCAGACATTAACGAGTATCCCGGTCGGCAGGTGCAGACGTAGCTGCCCCGGGTGTTGGTACAGATATGGTCACAGCCATTGATGTTTTCCGCGCATTCGTCGATATCTAAAAATGGATACAAATTAGAATACATAATTAGTGTTTATTCCTACATTATTGGCATTTTAAGCTTCAAAATATCCTGTTGAAACAAACAGATAAAACAAATAAAACCCCTTTTTCCGCAATTCGGCATGCTGATCAAGAGAGTAATCACGATTTGGCTGTAAAAAAAGTGACCTCTACTACGACATTTGTCAACGCGATATGAGCTGTTTTGACAAAGTTGTTGGACATGATATAGTGGATTTACCGTCGCAGGAATGGTCGTTTGAGTTCAGTCGGAATCCGATGTCGCAGTCACACCTGTAGCTCCCCGCGCTGTTACTACAGGTGTGCTCACAGCCTCCATTGTTGGCGGAACATTCGTCCACGTCCCCGCAGGAGTGTCTGTCCGCCTGTAGGGCGTACCCGGGACGGCAGTGGCACGTGTAACTGCCTGCCGTGTTGTCACAGATGTGGGAGCACCCGTCTGTATCCACCAAGCACTCATCCACGTCTGCACATATAAGATATACTGTTACTAATACAATGTCATAAGAAGTAAGTGAATTTGGGCATAGGAATGCAATATGGCGTTACCAAGACAAAGGTTGAAATTGGAATAGGCAGGGAAGATGTAAATCAGTGGAAGAATACAGAAGGAGAATGAAGGAGAATGCTTAGTTATAAGATTCAAAGTATTGTCGCGAGAGAAAGGGAAATTATTAAATTAGTTGTTGTACCAAAAAAAATTTTTGGCAATCATCTTTACTCGCAATATGAGGATTTTAAGTAAGAATGGCCCACATTATGCCTCCAAGCCCTAATAAAACAACATTTAAGAAAACTCATTTAGAATTCTGCCATTTGCCAGGCAGGAAAGAAAGAGGTAAATTGGCCAGGAAACGTACCGATACATCTTGTGGCCCCATACAGGGAATACCCGGTGTTGCATGTGCAGTAGAAAGATCCTGACGTATCATGGCACTGATGATCACAGCCCCCGTTGCCACTGTTACATTCGTTTATATCTGCGGTGGTATGAATATGACTTAAGACCAATATTTCAAAACTACTGAGTTACAATGGTTACCATCATATTTTCATGTGGTCGAAAGTTCACTAATAACTTGTATTACGTAGGGGAATGAAACACTACAATCTAGAAAATGAACCAGAACCAGTCATGCCTATAAAACAAAGAGTACAAGATGCAGTATCTTAAAGTAGCAAAGACAATATCGTACCATAGCATGAGTGCCTTCCTGACAGATGGTATCCCGTACGACAAGTGCAGCGGTAGCTTCCGTGTGTGTTCACACAGTAGTGACTGCAGCCGCCATTGCCCCTCGAACACTCGTTTGTATCTATATGTTATACGTGTATATAGAAAATTATGGTAGTTTATTTGACAGCAATAGACAAAAAGGCTACAAGTGCACCAATATTACCAAGATACGAGGTCGATGAATAAAAAAAGAAATATACCCATTAGTAACTAGTTTGACTCTACAAAAGTTGCAACAGATATTATAATTACTGATCAAAATATGACCTATACAGTTTTAGAAGTTACTCTTAGACATAGGCATGGTACTAAAACACACACAACAAGATTATAACTGCTGGCAATGTTAGGAACTAATACGACACATTGGTCATTAGACCATACTAAATTTTAAATTCAAAGTTAGAATACATTGTCAGACAGATAGATTTTAATAAATTTTTACCTGTGCTGCAGGTATGCCCCCGCCATCCCGTGTTACAGGAGCATACACCTGGGGCTGTACATGCACCGTTGTAACAGCCGCTGCTGCATACAGCTGTTAAAATGAATTACGATTGAGAAAAAAATATGTTCAAGGTAAAAAAAAAGAAAACATGACGCAACAGCATGACGTTTCAATGTAAATCAAGCTTGTAGCATATTGATAATTCAGATAGCTAAACTTAATTGGCTGAAGTGGTAGTAATACTAAAAAATCAATATTTCAATATTACAGAAAGAAAGCCTAATTGCGTATTACGTCAAACGAAGTGTTGTATAGCATCAGTATTAAACTTCTAATCAGCCGGACATGGCGGTAATACTTAACCCATTACGCCCATCCCAACCCGTTTCCTGCCAAGGTGTTAGTGTTACCTTCCTGGCCATACTGTTATATGTTCATAATGGTATCCTTGCATAGGTTCAACTTTTGAGAGTATTTGCACTCTGTTTAGTTCGATTAAAACTGACCGAAAACAACATTCAAGTTGGTAAGCACTGAGGGCCAGATTATTATAATAAAAAGGAAACGAACAAGCAACAAACATGGTATGATACCTTTAGTTAGCATTCAAGTTTTTAATTATCTCAGTACTATAGACCATACCTGTGTTACAGTTGGACCCAGTCCAGCCTGGACAACATTCATAATCTGTGTAGTAGATAGTGTTGTATCGGGGTCGGTAGCCTGTTCGGGAAACATCCCTGAAATATACAGCACGTTGTCGTGCTTACTCTCCTAATGCACACATATAATTAGCACGTGCACCTACTTTATACATGTATTTAAATACAGGGAGAAGTGGCCAGATAAAGCAAAATAAAAGTAAGTCGGTGAAGGTTAGACATCCAAGCTATAAGACATAACAAAAACAGTTACTCACCCAAATGGATATGAATTTTGATTTTTGAGTATCATATCCAGTTGATTGAGTACTAACAGTTTTTTTTGTTTTGATTTTGGCGTTAAGTAGAAATCTAATCACTATGGTACATTAACTTACATGCCAAAATTAGAAAAAAAAACCTCTGTTGCAAACTGATACTCGAAAGGCGAACATTTGCTTTGGAGCAAATGCAGCAGATGGCTTCAACACATATCCCCCGTACCAAAAATGAACCTGCCCCCCTCCCGCACAAATAGATTGTTTTTAAATCGCCCCTGCCCAAAATGTGAAGTATTCCAACAGTCTATACCTTCATGCAGCAATGGAATCTATCAACGCCTTCTGCAAATGTCAGCCAGGTCATTTGGCCCCAAATTTGAATCCATTTTACGACATGGTAGAGAAAAAAGGAGAAACACGAGGGAAAACAATGCTTTACATTGATATAACTATAGTATAAAGTGGCAGATAACTAAGAATTCAACAGTTGTATAAAAATCGTTTATGCCCCTCATTCCAATGCTGGAGCAGGAAAGTTTGACAAAACCTACAAAATTAGGTCAATACTGTCAATATGGTATGGCTTGCTGCATTTGTTAATGCAGTTAACCAGTTAACCCCCGGCCCTCTGCATGTCATTCTGATAACTCCCCTCCCCCCACTATACTGTAAATTGTGACCTGAAAACAGTAAAAAAGTCCCAAATTATATAAGTTTAAGGGAGGATGTGTCAAACATTATAATGAAGTATTGTTATTAGATATATAAAGCATAAAACCCATACCAAATTTCAGATGATTTTGACCCCATATGTACATATTTTGTCGGAAAATGACAAAAAAAAAACAACAAATGAAACAATTTCAAAGGTCTGTTTTTAGAGAATGAAAAAATGGGTCTGGTGGTATCTGCCCAGTCTACCCCCATGCGAAATTTCAGGTCATTCGGCTGAAAAATGGAGGAGGAGAAGAAACATGAGAGAACACAATGTGTTTCACCACACCACACCATAAAATGGCATTTCGTACAAACAGTGGGAAAGCCACCAAAACTACATTGTGCAATATTATTTATTGTTATATAGAATAGCTACCGATATTTTACTAAATCTGTGATAGACTTGACTTCACAGTTAAGGATATCGTTCGTGTAAATATATCTTTACATTAACTTCCACATACCTGTGACGTGAACAACGGCTTAATCCCCAAAAGCCACAGCTAGTATAGTATTTTTGACTGGTTCTAACTTCGTAGGACTCCTGAGTGGTCACCCTACGGGATCGCTGTACCGAACACCGCCTGTTAGGGTTAAAAAATCAAACTTTGTATTAAAAGACATCTCTGTATTATTCACAATGTCTCTGCAATGTGTTACACGAGCAAAGATACGTCTTCATATTGCCCCACGTAACTTTCACAAACTCATACAAGCAGGTCATTTGAATATATTTGACCGATTACCGACTGTTGTGATCAAAAACAAATTACGTAGATGAGTTCATGTAATTTCTAGTTGTAAATATTGAAAACGAATTGTTATAGAATGTTGTGATCTCAAGAAGTCCAGAAAGAGTTGTGGTGTACTGTTGAGAAAACTATGGATTATCTGTTATTGAAGTCTCGATCAACGCTATCCATGTTGTATGGGTGTCAACTATGGTAAAAATTATCACAGCTCATTTCTCCACAAAATCTTTGTGTAACCAGCAATATAGCGTACTTACGCGGCCATAGACGAAGGAAGAAGGCACAATAGAAGAAGTACAAGGGTGGTGAGACTCATCGTGTCTTGACGTGCTGAGAGCGCTAAGTCAGGTAAGTTAGGTCCGAGATTTCACCTCGCCAGCACCTGATCTTACTTCCTCAAAAGTTTTGCACGACGTGTAAACTGGACCTGGGGTGACACCGGCGCGGGGCGGTCTGCATGGCTGGACGAGTGCCAAGGAGCACTGAAGCCCTTGACAGGTGCTTGGTAACTGACACAAAATCCCCCCTACCGTGTCCAGTGTCGCGTATCTTCTCAGAAATTCTATCCACCGGAGGGCTGCCATGGAGACATGGGGCGCCTTGTAACCGGGGCAGGGTTTGCACACGCAGCAAGAAATGTTTCACCGATTGAGAAATGTTTGTCTCGGAAGCCCCCTTGGTTCCCACAGGTTATACATGGACGTCAAAAGTCAGAAGGTAGCAAGAACATATTGCTATATCAAGAGAACTGATATCAACTATTTGGACGTTGGACGGAACCTCCTTGCCTAGATATCGTGGTGAATCCCCATTCTCGCAGACAAAAGGCTGTCTTGTAAAACATTGGCAATGTTGTGACAAACGAGGACGTAAACACCCATGTTGCTCAAAATGTGGCAGTGCAGGACAAGGGAGGGTTTTTGTCTGTTCAATTCTCAATTTAGTTCGTACATCGAAAACAGTCACCAGGTTGGAAGACTCTAATGTGTTTTCATGCACCTGCCCCAGCACCGGGGCCCTGTGTTTTCTACCGACCGCTGCAAGGGTAGCATCGACATTATGGATTCCTGTTGGAAAGGGATTCTGTGTTGCTTGCTTCTAGAGGTAAGCTTGTTTGGTGTGCTTGGTTTGTCGTTAAATTTCTCTAACGGTACCCACGTCTGTGTACTGGACATAGAGCGTTTCAATGAAGAACAGGAACAGTGCCTGATCGCGAACAGTTCGTTTGTGTTTGCCATCGACGTTTCTGTGAACCGCTTACTTTGGGCTGAATTCGACTCTGGTATGATTTTTCGTGGGAGCACTGCCGGTGTGAACTCCACAGAAACAGTTGCTGAAGGATTCAAGACTTACGGTATTTCGTACGACGCACAGTTTGGCAGCTTGTTCCTTACCGACGACAAGAATAACCGAGTGACAGTAGCAGACGTGTCGACCGGTAAAACAAGCGTACTAGCCTTCTCTGGCGTGGAAGAACCCCGCGGAATCGCCCTGCACAAGCGCCTTGGGTAAGTAGTACAATAATCGTCTGTAATGTCTAGGGTATCTTGAACAAGGGCACAGTGCATTGATGAAATACCATTTCTGAAATTACCAGAAATATTATACGAGGCAGTGTACATGTTTCTGTGAATGTTTTGCTATGAAACGACGAGGTAGCAATGTGGCACGGAGGCTTTTAGAGGGTGTTGTTGCTTGTTGGGTGTTGTTACTGAACGCCATTCTGGTGTTAACTTATTTAATAAACTACGTGTTTTGTACACATAAGCACACAGTAAAATATTTGTTAAGTAAAAAGGGTTGACTTTGCATGCATGAACAAGACGATTTTACCTGACCGTCGGCTGACATAGTATATGTAGCTGCCGTGACAATTAGACAATATAATCAACATACGTCGTGGTTCAGATATAATTGTTATCTATATTAATTATATATTAAACACATCGATGTTTCTGCAATGGAGAATTAGATTCAAAATAGCAGTGTGCAATGCTGATATGTGTAGATTTAACCATATGGTACCTACTACATGTATATCCGATACCTTCTATGGCCGTTACGTTTCCTGTGTTTATGACATTGGTTCAAATTGAAAAAATAAAGCAAAAGTCAGCGAAAAATGCTGGCCTTTTGTGGCTAGATGTAAAGTATGGTGTACAGATGACAGAATTTGTGGTCCATGGGTAAAAGGCTCACAATTATACAACTCTAGAGACAGTTGCAGTTTGTTGCATACAGAAGGGAGGCGTTGTTGAGCGGGGATAAACAATGCAAACAACATGGCGGACAGCTGGTATTCGACGAATTCCAATGGACCGGCCTGATTTGCGGCATTACAGTATTTCACGAAATTTTTGCCCAAAAGTGTGTTATGTATAGCGAATGTATCAATTATATCCAATTGCATGCTTGTATTCACTTTGTTCATCATATCTAATCTAATTTGAGATATTTATCAACGTTGCTTTCTTTAATTTGTTCACTTTTTTTGTCAATGCAATGCAATGCAAGGTCAGTCACATCTTTTGCCAGAGGCCGCAAGGCCTCCGGCTTACTGACGGGAAGGGTGCTTGGTGGATGGTACGTCGCTTGGTACGGCGACCGAAGTTACGCAATTCCCAACCGCAAGTTGCGCAATTCCTACAATGGCAATGCAATGCCATGCAATGCCATGACTCGGTGGGCGGGTTGGGTAGTCTTACACGGTTCCCAGTTCAGAAACCGTTTAGGCCTATGCCATGGCAATACGTCTGACAAAGGATACATTCACAATACGATTTCACGTTAAAATGTCGCTCATGCGAGTCATAAACTGGCAAATAACTCGCACTGTTCGTCTGTCCATATATTATGTTAATGAGCCTGCAACTTGTACCGCCTATCCTCGCTAGGGATCATAACTAGTATGTGTGTTTGTGCGTAAATGCGGGTCTTGGATATATCCGGGATCACAGTACATGTCCTGTGTGCTGGTCCCGGATACATTCGGGATTGGGGTATTTCTCGGGCGAAAACAGCCGCGTTGCCGAACACGTGATTCCGCGTCGCTAGTGTCTTTTCGGCGATAAATTTCTGATTGTTGTCGCGAAATGTCCGGATTTACGCTGAAATACGTGCTTGGGGACCTTGATATTAGAAATTGTAGGGGAATTTATCCTCTCCTCGGCGAGGATTCTCCAGAAAGTAGTGACGTTGTGGGAAGCACACGGAACAAAATTCTGCCAAAATTCTGAGAAATTGGCATTGGCCGCGGAGTTGACAGTGGGTAGACGTCGGGGGGCGAGGGGTGTTATGTACCTATGATGTTTAGAGCTCCAGAAAGGAGAATACCGTCCATGTAATATTTTAGCCTTTCAGCTGAATAGTCATTTCAGTACCCAGGACAGTCTGTAGTCATAAAATTCACCGGTAGTAATATCTTGATTCCTTTTTATTCAATGAAAGTAATATTTATGTTGTTGTATTAGAATTCGCCAGGAGCTGTATATTCCAATTAAAAGTGATTTTATGTGTACTTGAGTATTCAAATCATTGTGGAAAATGTGTACAGTAATTTATCAAAATAAAATATTTAAACTCTCTATATGCCAATAGTAAAAACCCCTTCATACTAACGCACAAAATGTATATGTAGGGGAGCTAGATTTCAATTAAAGGTCATATCATCACTTCAAAGAAAAAACGCATTTGTTGCATACGATTTTGTTGTTCAAAAAGACCACACGACCAAACGTCAGCTTTTGTAAAAGCACTTTTTTTATAATTGTTAACATCTTACTTAAGTTTGCCATATGCCAGAAATGAATTGCACAAAAAAGATACTGGAAAATGGTATTATAAGTTATTTGTGTGAATATGCTTTTGGAAAAGTCATAGCCTCTACTGGGCTTCTGGAGGTGGCTGGAAAGAGTAGAAATCGGCCTAATATAGAGATCTAAATATCATTGGCACAAGTAATGTTATAAGCAGAAAGCATCTACATTCACACTTTTTAGCATTGCTACAATTCAAGTCAGCATGCTGACCACTTCTTTGAGACAATGCCACCCAAGGAGCTATTCCCATTTTGGCCTCCGGCCAGCTTTTTTCAAAAGCTTTCTTGTCTGCTTAAAGGCCAGAGATTGTACGTACCCCATAGGCCATGATCTTAAAAATCGCCACTAGTTTTCGGTATTCCTGCCAAAATACATAATTTTTGGCTTCAGTGAAGTATTTTAGAAGAGTCACACCAGGAATTGATACATTTGTATGGCCACGCACTATGTCATTATTACCACAGATATGTGTTCTGGACACAATGGGGCCAGTACCCAGCGGTGGAACAAGTAACTACAGTCGGCACTAGCCGCACCACGATTGTCGGCACGGACATCATCCTGCCGACTGGAATCTCGGTAGATGAAACCAAAGACAAAATATACTGGGTAGATGGAGCAAAGGGTACAGTCGAGTCCTGCCTAGTGACAGGAGAAGACAGACACGTGAGTAATCGTTGTTTAGAGGGTTGATCACAAATTGACCTTGAATCAGATGTATTGTCTAGACACCAATGATCTGTAGCAAACCAGTATTATAGTTAGATAGTTCAAGCTTTGTTCCAACACAAGAAAGAAACTCACCATAAATTGTTGGTCGATCTCGTCAACCTTCTTCAGCTGCATAATGTACTCGCTGACTCTCCCAAAATCAGAAGTTCATCAAATGTGGTGGAACGACGGAAAGCTCCCAACGTCAGGGTTCAGAGGGGGTTGATGGGCCCTGATATAAACTGCCTCCTTCACGCCCCGCAAGATATAATCCTGTATGCTCCGTATCCAAAATGCGCACCTTGTCAAGCGTAAGTGTGTGACCGGGAGACTCGATACGTGTGAGTTTTAGAGCTGGTACTTATTGTAATTTCTATTGTCCAACATTTTCTATGATTCTCGGCCATTTATTTTTCTGCCTTTTCCGATTAAGATTATCTATGAGAGTGCTGGGTCTCAGCCACTTGACATTGTGGCCTACAAAGGATGGCTCTTCTTCTCCGAGGCAGGAAGGATTGTACAACTGAACATTACGACTCGGCAGGCGGTAACACGACACATCGGCGGCACGGCGTACAGTCTTGCGGTGGACTCCAGTGACGATGCTTCGAAAAATCGTTCAGGTGATTGCCATATATCCATATAGCAAGCCCCCCAAAGTCAAGCAATTAAGCAATTATGTTTATTGCATTAAGATAAGGCAAGGTTATCTGAAACAGGGTCGAGAAAGATTGAACGTATGCTTTTTTCAGCTGGAATGTGTCCTGATTGCAGCGGACTTTGTGTGAGGCAGTTTGAGACGACGGCAACGTGCATCTGTGAAGCAGGAAAGACATTTCAGGAGGATAAAAACATCTGCGTTGAGGGTTAGTGACATGATACTAGTATAATAAATTATCATAATAATTTAGCTTTGAAAGCCGGTTGCTCAAGGATCAACATGTACGATTACTTGTACGATTTTTTAATCAAAACTATTGTCTTTTTGTCAAGGTGGAGATGTTCTTTTGATTGCTGACGACTCGAGACTCCTTTCTGCGTCGTTGGATAGTTCCTCTCCATTTGTCGGTATGTACAATTTAATTGTTTCCAGGCAACCTATGAAAATGCGTACCATAAAGGAAAGGACAGTGTTCACGTACGATTTTGATACGATACAATTTCTTATCTGAGAAAAAAGCCTTAGGCAGTATCCGTAAGTAAAGGATACCTGTCTGCTCAACAATGCATCTATTCTACCAGTAGCATCTAAAATTGGCTTCAATTACCTTTTTTTAATGAAAACAAAACAAACAAAATCATGATTTTTTTACAGATTTGCCAATACCCGGTCTGGAGTCTCCCGTGGCTGTTGCTTACAACCCCAAGGACGCACATCTGTACTGGACAGACCCAGGAGCAGGAACCATCTGCCAATATAGTTTCAGTAGCGATGAGTTCACAGTGCTGGTGACAGATATAGATACACCAGGTACGTGACTACTGTTTTCCACATTTTCTACATTTTACACGTCGTTTCTAAGAGACAGACTAGTATAGAATGTCAACAATGTGTGGTAATTAGCTGCCTTGTCGAATATGTTCCACAGATGGATTAGCTGTAGACGGGGCTTCGTCCAACATCTACTGGACCGATGCGGGACGGAGAGTGATAGAAGTCAGTAAGTTGGACGGATCAGACCGTAAAGCTCTCATCACCACGGGGCTACGGGAACCAAGGGCTATCGTGGTCCAGGCATCAATAGGGTAAGACGAGCAACTTTTCAAGCACAATGCACTATGTAGATTGTTTTTTAAAAGTTGTATGTTTATACATTATAGGGCAGATGGAGGTGACCAAAATGTACATTCCAATAGTTAAAGATATTTGTAAAAAGATTATTAAGTCACTACCTTTAGATGCAAAGGTAGTGACAATGAAGTTTTTCATTCAATTCTATTGTACATTAATCTCATTTTATTCAATTGTAAATAAACAGACAAAAGATTGAGCTGCGTTTTATATTTAACATATTGACAAATGAAGAGATGGACTGTTTTTGTTAGATTTATGTTCTGGACGGACTGGGGCAAACCTGCGGCCATAGAACGTGCCGCCATGGATGGAACGGATCGCCGGGTCATCGTGTCAACAGACCTGGTGTGGCCTAACGGTCTCGCCATTGACCTCAGCAACAGCCACCTCTACTGGACAGACGCTTACCTGAACAAGATTGAGGAGGCGAACCTGGATGGGCATGAAAGACGAGTTGTGTACGGCGACAGGTAGGTACCATTTCTGGCATAGCTTAACTTTGAATCATTCACCCACTCAATTACATACCCGTTCACTTACATATCCACTCACTCACTCACTCACACACACACACACTCACACACGCACGCACACACACACTCACACACACACACATACTCACACAACCACTCACATTATCCACTAACATACATTACCCACTCACTTACATAGTATTACTCACTCACTTACAAAGTTAATACCCATTCACGTAGTCACTCACTCATACACACACTCACTCACTCACTCACTCATTTACTCACTCACTCACTCATTTACTCACTCACTCATTTACTCACTCACTCACTCACTCACTCACTCACTCACACACACACACACACACACACACACACTAACATACCCACTCACACAACCACTTACATTATTCACTCACTCACATATCCACTCTTACATACTCACTTACTTACATAGTTAATACCCATTCACGTAGTCACTCACTCATACACACTCACTCACTCACTCCTGACTCACTCAGTCCCGTAGCTGTAAGCCGTAGGGGTAGTCGGTCTATCCGAAAATTTATCAATTTCTGGTGGTCAGTATAAAACTTTGAATACTGGTATGAATGTCCCACAGTGTTTATGAATCCGGGCACCTTGCAAACCCCTTCCACTCCGTTCATGAGAATCTGCAGTTGGAAAACACACAATGTTTGTTTGCTATGGTTTAATGCATTACTACTTAAGCGATAATGGCAATCATGACAACTTTCCACAGGTATGTCTGGCACCCATTTGATATCGCCCTAGCTGGAAACAGCTTGTACTGGTCTGACTGGTGGACAAAGACCATTTTAAAAGGGACCATTAGTGGCCTCGACCGACCGACAGCATTCGGTGGAGGAGGGCTAAAGAAACCGATGGGTATTGCAATTCGACGAGTCAACCAACGGACAGGTTAATATGATAAAATAATTAGTATTTTA